CCAGACCAATCAAATCCAGTCACACTGTATCTAAAAAGTTTCTCTCCACAAAGTCTTCTCGAGGATGAAAGGAAGGTGGGTCAGGAGCATAAGCCCAATACAGCTCTTCCTTCACCATCAGGACAGAATCTACCATGGTCAGCAACAGGAGCATCCTCCTTCCAGGGGACATCTCCTGCAAATAGCACCAACGTTTCTGGGATCCACCTGGCTCCTCCTTCTGCGTCCTTTGGAAAAACACAAACATGCCCTCTTACCCATATTAACAAAAGGTTGGGGCCCTGCCATATTCCAGTAATTGGATCTTCCAATTTACTTGAGAATAATTATCTTCAGTATTAGGGTGCCACAATCGATCAGCCACAGAATGGCCTTGTATATCCACATTCAAAAAATTTGAAATAAAGAGAGTACGGTTAATATAATTCTGTGGTGTTTGGGGATATAACTTGTCTTTTTTTATTTTTTGCACTTGGTTTTTAAGAGATCCATGGACACGCTCTATAATTCCTTGACCTTGAGCATTATATAGAATACCTGTTTTATGACTTATATTCATTTGCACACAAAAACTTGGAAAAGCTTGACTATTTTATGCAGTACCATTATTAGTCTTTATAATGGAAGGAATACCAATTGTAGCAAAACATTTTAAGTAATGGCTTACAGCCTGTTTGGTGGCTTCTCCTGTTAAGGGAATTGCCATGATTAATCCTGAAAAAGTATCAATTGTTATGTGAACATATTTTAGTTTTTCAAATTCTGGGATATGAGTTATGTTCATTTGCTACAAATGACTGGGAATCAATCCTCTAGCATTGACACTATATTGAGGAACATGAAAATGTTCAGGACAAGAAGAACATAATCTTACAATTTGTCTAGTGGCTTCTCTGGTAATATTAAATTGCTTTCTTATTATTTATACAATACTCTGCCTGCATGTATGCCTACACACCAGAAGAGGGCACCAGATCTCATTATAGATGATTGTGAGCCACCATGTGGTTGCTGGGAATTGAACTCAGGACCTTTAGGAAGAACAGCCAGTGCTCCTAATCTCTGAGCCATCTCTCCAGCCCTAAATTGCTTTCTTAAACTCTGACTATTTTTATGATGTAAGGCATGAGATTGTTGAGCCAAGTCTTGTTGAGTTAATCTGACCAAGTATGTGGCTTAATCTGCTAAATCATTCCCTAAAGTTAGAGGTCCAGGAAGTCCTGAATGTGCTCTAATATGCCCTATATAACAAGGCTGCACACAGCTCTGGATACTTTGTTGTATCTCTCTAAATAAATCTTGTATTTGTTTATTAGCTGTATCAACATGTGTTACAGTTTCTAGGACTTGCAAAGCCTTACCAATATAATGGCTATTAGTGTACAAGTTTAAAGAAGTAGAAGCCATATTTTTAAAGACTGCAGCTACAGCTCATAATTCTACAAATTCACCTGAGGCTGGTAATGTTTGAAAAACAAAAGTTTGTCCTTGCAGTACATATACAGCTTTTTCATTTGAAGATCTATCTGTGAATACTGTTCGAACTTGAGGGAATGGCTCTTTTTTAATTATTTTAGGAAATACAAAAGCATGCTCATTGACAAACTGAAGTAATTTATCCTTTGGATAATGTTTGTTAATATGTCCTAAATAATGAGTAAAAGGTATGATCCAAAAATATGCATTTTAAAATACCCAGTCTACTTGCTGTTTGGTAAAAGGAACTCCAATTATAAGGAGGACTCTCTAGCAAAATACTTTTGAGATTCTATGTGAGCCATTTGAACTAAACTAGCCACTGCTTCATAAAATGGTGTTAGAACTCGCACAGGAGACACAGGCAAGTGCAACCATAAGAATGGTCCTTCTTGCCACAATACAGCAGTTGGAGTAAGAACAGTAGCCAGAATATATGCACCCCATTTTTTTGAATAATCTATATATTGAATGTGTAGTTTTTCAGTAGCTAATTCTATCTTTTGCAAAGCATCATGAGCTTCGTTGGTAAGTTCCCTTCTTGACAAAGGATAAGCCTCTCCTTTTAAAATGTCATAAAGCAGTTTCAGATCTCCTGTAGTTAACTTCAGATAGGGTCTAAGCCGATTAATATCACCCAAGAACTTGAAAATCATTTAAAGTTTTTAGATTGTCTTTCCTTAATTGAATTTTCTGAAGCATAATAGTCTGAGGGTATAATTTATGTTCCAAATACAAATATGGTGGCTCTGCATCTTTTCTGGTGCAACTACTAAACCTTGACCCTTCAAAGCTTGCTGTTAGTGTGCAAAAGCACTTAATAAAATCCCTTCATTATTATGAGCCATTAAAATATTATCCATATAATGAATATGTTTATCTAGTTTTAAAAACAGCTTGAGCCACAAATTTTTGACATAAGATTGGACTATTTGCCATACCTGGAGGCAATACAAGCCAATGATACCTCTTCATAGGTTCTTTAAAATTTACTGATGGCATGTAAAAGCAAGTCTTTTACAGTCTTGAGGAACAAGAGGAATAGTATAAAAACAATCTTTCAAATCTAGCATAATCTTAAAAGTATCTCTAGGTATAGCAGAAGGGGTAGATAATCCAGATTGCAAGGCTCCCATTAACTCCATGGTCTCATTTACTTTTCTGAGATCTTGTAAAAGTCTCCATTTTCCTGACTTCTTTTTTTATATAACACAAATAGGGGAGTTCCAAGGTGAGTTTGATGGAGCAATACAGCTGCTATCAAGCTGTTCCTGTACTAACTGCTCAGTGGCTTTAATTTTCTCAAGGGAAAGAGGCCACTGATCTAACCACACAGGAGTATCTGCTTTCCATATTATCTACACAGGGTACAGGTTGTTCAGTGACCTCCCCTAAAAATAACCCAACCCTTTTAAAACATTTCTTGGGGTAGGCATTAATGGCTGAGCTATGCCTTGTCCAAATTTTCCTAATCCTGAATTTGGTAAATATCCTTGATAAAGCATCTGATTTGTAACTACATTACAGGACTGTAAAGATACACTCCCATGTTACTTATCACATCTCTACCCCACAGATTAACAGAAAAGCCAGGAACAATATATGGTTTAAAGGTTCCCTCATGTCCTTCCTCATCTTTGCAAGTTAATCCATCACTACTTCGTTCAGGACATTGGCTTTGTCCTATCCCTTGTAATTGCATAATAGAAGATTGCTTAGGCCAGTGCATAGGCAGTTAAAACAGAGACATCAGCTCCTGTATCCAACAACCCTGTAAAATTTCTTCCACTAATTTGTAACACTAGTTCAGGTCCATTGGGAATGATAGCTTGTATCCAATAAGTATCAGAGGATCCAAAACCTGCATCTCCTCTCCTATCCTTCTTACTTGCATTTTTTTTTTTTTGCCTGAACTTGGGGAAGCAATGTTAATTGGGCTAATCTCTGACCTTGTTTTAATACAGAAATTCCATTTGGAGAGTGTGTCATAATTTTTATTTCCCCTTCATAATCGGTATTAATTACCCCATGAGCTACTAAAATTCCCTGCATAGTTATACTACTTCTTCCTAGTAATAATCCCATATCTCCCTATGTAATGGACCACAAACTCCTGTAGGCAAGGCTTGCATCCCCATTTCAGGAGTTAATACTGTGTAGGTGGAGGAACTGAGGTCCAGTCCTGTGCTACCTGTAGTTGCTCTACAGAGGTCCTGAATGGATTTCCTTGCTGAAGGATGAAATTCTATAGTGCTCCAAAATATTGTTGTGAGGCCTGGGGTTGACCCCTTTTCAGTTTCCCTGCATTAAAGGGTTTCCTGCAGCATCCTGTTTAGACTTACATTCATTAGCCCAGTGCTTTCCTCTTTTACATCTTGTGTATAGACCAGGTTCCTTTTGACTCCCTTCTTTCTTACTAGCATTAGGACAATTTTTTCTTTGATGTCCCATTTGTCCACAACCATAACAACTTCCAGATACTCCATTCATTGGGCCTTTCTGTTGCTGAAATAATACCTCTTTAATAGTCTTCTCTTGTAGGTTGGCAGCCATAGCCACTCCTTGAGTATAAGATGGCCTGAGGTCAGAACATAACCTAATATAGTCAGAAATATTTCTTTTCTTCCTAAAGGGTCTCAAAACTGCTTGGCAGGTACTGTTAGCATTTTCATTGGCCAATTGTTTTACTAATAATAACCCAGAATCTGTATCTCCTACAAGTCTGCTTGCATTAATCTTGCTACAAAATCTTGAAATAATTCATCAGATCCCTGACAGATTTTAGACAAATTCTCCACCTGTCTACCTGTTTGTGGAAGTTTATTCCAGGCCCTTTGGGCAGCAGCATTTGCTTGAGCATAAACTGCCACATCAAAATCCAACTGCTGTCCTGTTTCCCTATAGGTTCCTTCTCCAGCAAGCATGCCATAAGTTATAGGAACTGCTTGAGCTCAACTGAGTTCAGCTGTACCTTGACAGTGCACTGAAAATCCTGACTTCCATAATAAATTATCTCCTCCTGATAAACATTCTCTTGAAAATTGCTTCCAGTCCCTTGGGCAGAGGGCGTCAGTAGATAAGCACTCTAACAGCTTGAGTAAAAGGTGCTGTAGGACCTCATTGAGCACATGCAATTTTCAATTCTTTTAATTGTCTAAAAGGTAGAGGAGCATAGACTCTCACCATATTACTGTCCACCAGGTTGCTCTGAACTGGAAAACCACACAACTCAGTTATATCTTCTCTGCTCTGCCTGGCTTGTTGTAAAAAAGCTTGTAAGGGGGATACAGTTGCCCGCACAGTGGACAAAGGAAAAGGTCCCCTTGTCTTTTGAGCTACAGCAACTGTAGCAGTCCCAGGAGGAGGGTCTAATCTTGCAATCAATGAGGGAGTTTGAGTGGGGGATTAAGCCTCATTTTCCCTAGTAGATAATTCTCCATTTTTTTTCTGTTTATTTCCTCCAAGCCCCATTCCAACTTTTTTTTTTCTTTTTGCCAAGGGTTAAGTTTTTTAAACACTCATACCCAGAATTGGAGGTTGTCTCTCAGAATAATACTTAACTGCTGCTTTCTCCAACTCTGCAACCTCATCAGGATCTAAGTCATCCTCAAAGATGGGCACCAAACTGCTGGAGCCCGCTGGCATAGTCGAACAGTTCTTGAGTGGGGAGTGAGGATTGAAAGAAAATTTAAAAAAACCAACACACTACACATGGGATCTTTTCGAGAGGGCTTTCAATGGAAACTGACACACCTTGTTTATTCAAATAATCCCTTTTTACAGTCAGAGCAAAGCACCTTGATGCAATGAAGGGGTTCATGAAGAAGTCAAACTTGTTTGTTTACCTTGACCACCTGTCTGTGTGATCTTCACACAAACAAATGGAAGTGAACTTGGCAAAACATCTTGCCTATCCCTGTCTCCACATGAAGGCCAGGGCAAAAGCATGTTTTTTTCACTGACAGCTCGATAACAGAGCAGCCTGACAAACAAGTGGCTCTCCACAACCCACGTGGCAGTTCACAACTGTCTGTAACACCAATTTCAGGGAGTTACAGTTTCCCAACATCCTCATACAGATATACACGCAGGCAAAACACCAATGCATGTAAAATTAAAAATAAATAAATTATTAAAAATGTTTTTCTGAGGACCAAGGTTACAACCCAGTGCTTGCCTTGCACAGCCCTAGATTTGATCCTAAGGGAAAGAGGGAAGAAAAAAAAAAAAAGAAAGGAATGAAAGGCTTTGGAGAGATGACTCTCTCCAGTTAAGAGACTTGGCTGCTCTTCTAAAGAACACAAATTCCGTTCCCTTCACTATCAGCGTCAATCACATAGTGACTGACAACCAACCGTAACTCCAGTTCCAGGGGGTCTGACATCCTCTTCAGGTCTTCACTGGCGTCATGCCCACATGGTGCACACACAATCATGCAAGTAACACACTCAAGTCACATAAAATAAAATAATAGATAAAAAAGTTAAAAGGGAGCCTGGAGAGATGGGTCAGTGGTTAAGAGCGCTTGTTGATCTTCCAGAGAACCTTAGTTCAGTTCCCAGGACCCTCATGATGCCTCACAACTGTCTGTAACCCCCGTTCCAGGGACCCAACATCCTCTTTTGGTTTCCATGGGTACCAGACATATAAGTGGTGTACATATTCATGCAGGCAAAGCACTCATATACATAAAGTAGATGATGATGATCATAAAGAATTTTTTAAAGAAGAAGGAAGGAAGGAAGGATGAATTCTGATTTGATTTCAGTGTTGCAGTACTTTTCATTATTTCATTATTTTAAAGGTGTAAACCACCATGCCTGGCCTTCTCTCTTATTTTGTGGGGCACGAGTGTTTTGCTTGCTTGTATGCAAATGAACCACATGCATGCAGGTGCCGAAATACAGAGAAGGCATCAGATCATCTGGAACTGGAGTTACGGGCTGTCTGAGACATCATGTGGGTACTGGGAACTGAACCTAGGTCCTCTGCAAGAGCAGCAAACCGTCTTACCCGTTAGGCCACCTCTCTAGCTCCGTTTTTATTTCTTAGAGGTTATAGTAATCTATCAATTTTTAAGACATACTTTTTTTTTTTTAACATCATAACTGTCTCCAAAAGTTATGGAGACTGTGTTAGGTGTACTGACTTTGAGACATCCAGTGGAAATCTGTTTCTTATGGCTGTTGTAATAGACTACCATAAGCATGACTGTGTAACAACAGAAAAGTGTTCTCTTACATTCTGGAGGACAGGAGTCCAAGGCATTAACATGACCATGCTCCTTCCAAAGGCTCTAAGGAAGAATTTTATTATAAAATATTATTTGCAGGACCAGGGTCGTGGTAATGCTGAACTTGCTGTATCCTGAGCTACAGCTACAGCCCTTAGGGGAGAATTCTCCATTTCTTTCAGATTTACAAATTATTTATTTATTTTATTTTTTTGAGGTAGTTCTCTCTATGTAGCTCTGGCTGTCCCAGAATTCTCTATGGGGACTAGGGAGGCCTCACACTCAAGAGATCTGCCTGCCTCTGCCTCCTGGGATTAAAGGTGTGCACTACCACGCCCGGCCTGGTGGGCTTTTTTATCCACATTCCACTTGACCTCCCCAGGTTTCCAATTAGGATCCGTATGTTAACACAGTCAAAACAAGCATCTTGCTTCCTTCCCCAAGCCCCAACTATAACTTTGAGAGTACTACGATTGTATAATCACTGTAAGCCTCTAACTACATTCTCCAAGAGACTACAGGAAGATGGAAACAGTTGTTACAGTTTTGGAGATCTAAGCACCTATTTCTTTTAAACATTCGGTCTAGTTATCTCGCAGGATACATTTTAAAAAGAAGGACCGTGTACGACAGTATGCAATCATTTGCCCAGGCTTTTCTCAGACTAAGTTACGAGGGATCCCGCCGAGCCACCGTCCACAGGGTGGGCCTCACTCGACGCTGGCCTGCGTCACGATCAGCCACTCCCTGGGCTCTCAGCGTTCCCTCCGCCCCACTTCCTCTCTCCAGGCCCCGCCCCGCGCCCGTGCGCCTGCGCCTGGGCGAACACGTGGCTGCCGCGGAGCCAGAGCAGCAATGGCGGCCGGTGGCGGCGGTAGCTGCGACCCCTTGGCCCCGGCGGGGGTCCCCTGCGCCTTCTCGCCGGACAATCAGGCCTACTTCGCGTTAGCCTCTAGCGACGGTCACTTGCGGGTGTGGGAGACGGGCAACAACCGGCTGCACCAGGAGTACGTTCCTTCCGCGCACCTCAGCGGTACCTGCACCTGCCTGGCCTGGGCGCCAGCGCGGCTGCAGGCCAAGGTAGGGCGACCGGGACGGCGGCGGGGAGGGCGCCCTCCTGGCCGGGCTGCGGCGTCCCGGGCCGGGTGGCGCGTGGCACCGCGTCGCGCGTGGCCCGGGGCGGGCCGGGCGAGGAGGCGCGGGGCCGGACGGCGGCGCCTCCTGGCCCCACGCCGGGACCGAGAGTGCGGCCTGTCCCGAGGGGCCAGTGAGAGGGTGCGGCCCGATCCGGCGGTCTCCGGGCTGTCTGTACTGGCTGTCGCTGGGCCGCCATGTTCGCCGGAGCCCTCGGTACCCCCCGGGAAGTGCCCCCCGGTACTTCCAGGCCTGCCTCCTCAGCGTGTCCCCATCAGAGCGACCGACTGCGTACTTTAAGACAGTCTAGCGCTTCCGCATCCCAAACCCGGCTATTGGTTTTGCTTTGGGCAGTTGGAATGCGCAAGTCTCGTTTTCTCCCTTCCGGGAGCCCCTTTGCTTGGATGCGTGTTCAACACGTGTTCTAGGCTGTGGGAGTCTAACTCCCACAAACTCTCTACTTTCTTAGCTTCCTTTCATGCTCAGCCTTTTAACTTCTGCTCAAGTTCCACCTTTCTTACCCTCCCCTCTTATCCTTAGGATGCAGAGGTAAAGCGAAATAGTAGAATCGCCTGGTTTAAGGCATATGATGGACATCCCAGTGATTCCCCCCCCCCCCCCATAGTTGGTAAACTGCTGAGTTAGGGAATCCTTTTCGATGTCAGGTAAATGCTGTTCACTGTTGAGTCACTCAGTTTCATCTCAACGCGCACGTGGTTGTTGCAGTTAGGCAGTAGATAGGCAAAAGGAAGCACTTCTGTTTGAACCGGAGCTGGGGGGGCATCCTAAAGTATGTGACGTTTTGCTGTCACTGGTGTAAAATTTACGAAGTTAGTGTTTGGGATAGCTTATTCCTTCTGATCACCAGAGAACGCTTGTGCTTAAATCTTTGGGTTGGAAGTTGTTGCGCTTATGTCTAACTTGCTGTACTTTGGGTTAGTATGTTTAGGTATTTATCAGATTTTTTAAGCTATATTTCCAGTTTCTCTTGGTAACAAAGAGCACATATTGGGCCCTATAAGTCAAATACAATTAGTTTTGTGAAAGTTTTATAATTGTCAGTATTATAACTGTGGTACTTTTTACTTTATAAAGTTTGCTTTGTAATTTAACAGTCCTTTAAAGTGGTGCAAATAGCAACACTCAGAAATACAGATCAGTGGTTAGTTAAATGAACGTACCCAAGCAAGTCTAGCCTCTGTTATAATTGTGTTGTTCCCTATTTATAACATGAGGGTAGTCATACCTCTTTATAGAGTAGTTTTGAAAGGTAGTATATTTAATAATGCAGAATCACTTAGAATAGTATAGGGTGTCTTAAGTGCAATGCTTATTACCTGTATTAGTATTTCGCATTTGTATAGTTAGTCCTGCAAGGAATGTAAAAGTAAGCAATGTCAATAAAGCCCAAAAGGAATTAGTCCTTAAAACCTATTTCTTAGTTGTCTGCAACAGGTAGTTAATATTAGATAAAGTGAACTTCATTCACTTTGCTTTCCTGTTGACTCCTCATCTTCTATGCCCCAGAATGAAACCCAAGTTTTTTAACATCATGGTTTGAATATTATATTCATCCACTGTGATACAGTAGGAATAAAAGTGTTGTTAAAGGAGCCCTACTTTAACCTTCCAACAAGGTTAGAGCAAAGTTATATGACAAAACATCTGACCTGAATACTACTGGTTATGAGCCTAAAGCGGTGTGCCTGATTTGTATGTGGTTCTGTCCCCAGCAAGCCCTGTCCCCCAAGTGTTAGTGTCACTTTTTTTACGCATATGTTGCCATTTTTGATATGTAACCACAAAATGTCCTGTAATCACTGCATTTTAAAGAACTTAGGCTGGGATGTAGCCCAAAGATAGAATACTTGCCTAGCACATGAGAAGCTCTGAGTTTAATCAATAGCACCACAAAATTAAAAATAAAGCAGAAGAGATTATAGCATTTGATTAAGTCAGGGCCCAGGAAGCTAAATGGCTTAACCAAAGCAGTGGCTGCAGGATCATGGTACTGACTCCCAGCCCAGTGCCCTTACACTACTACCCTTGCGCTTTAGTCACGAGAGCCAGGATACTCAGAGAGCTGCAGAGATACCATCCTGGGTATGTGACTTACTGAAGCATCAGTTTTACTTGAAAATTAGGGAAGCGGTTTTCTGGCATTAAGTTTGTACATATTTCAAACAGTGGAATTGAAAGGTCTGGCTTTGTGATGGGGCAGGGAGTAGGATGGGGGTGGGTTATGGTAGGATATGGATCCAAGTTTGTGGCTCCCTGG